ACCAAAAAAACAAAAAGGACGGGCCAGGGAGAAACCTTCCCATTTGTGAAGTATCTGATCAATATGGTCACAAAGCCATGGCTCCCCCACGAGAGGATCAGCTCACTGGCCAAGCTCCAGGAAACATTTAAGACGGTAATGGACACTTGCAGAGCGTCTGTGGGAGCATTAAACGTTTAACCCCTCGGCCTCTCTTTCTGTGCTGGAGAGGATGCTGTGTAAGTAAATGTCCCACCGCAAAAGACAATCAAAGGGAACTCGATCCCCCTCTGGCACTGAACAGAAATTAAAAAGGGTGAGTGTCTTTATGGTTGCTGCCTCAATGCAAGCTCTCGCCAGTTAAGACCCAAATGCTCATAATGCACAGCCTTAAAAAACATCCCAATGCTTTTCCTAGAGGATAAATGGAAACTCAGGTGGCCAGTGGGAGTCTTTATCCCCAAGATGGCTCACTTAGGAATGGTAGAGGACTGTAGACCACGATCCGTAGGATTCTCAGTCATTACTTAATGAAATTGACTGACATCTATACACACATTAAGATGACCAGATGCCTCCTTTTTTCGATGGGCCGTCTCCCTATCAAGAACATCTGATCCCCTGATACTTGTTGTCCACGTCTGTGCCAGCAAGATAAATGCAGTTATAATATTGTAATTACATATTAAGCATTCGCTGTAAATCCTCAAAGGAAACTTGTAGACAATTGTTATGAAATGCCAGAAAATGACATTGACCATTGTGAAAAGAGATTGTGTGTTGCAGATTTTATTTTTTTATTAGGACTATCCCTAAATATCTAAAAAAATCTATACTTTTATAGAAGCATTCACGATGGATTTTAGAAAGGAGCGTACATCGAGCACAAACAGTACATTTAATTGCATTCGATATATATGTCCTCATGTTGGGTTATAAACACATTACAGCAATTCAGTATTCCAACAAATCGTTGTCCCAATATTATTGATCTTTCTACTCTCTGCTCAGCTGAGACCTCCCTAACCGTATTCACAGAAATGATTCCAGGGGTTAAGCAAATTTAGAGAGATTCCCAACCCCCTCTCCTCGTTAGTTACCTCCAATGGTGGCTTAGAACTCTAAGGGGATAGAATCTCGAGCCTCAAGAGGCGTGGAATGCCAAGGGCTGTTACACACTGTCCACACATCACCAGATCCCTACTCTCTGTTAAAACACTCCTAGACTGAGTGACAACATGGTGCCAAAGTCTGCACCAGTCGGCCAATACACAACAGGACAAAGTATATCACAAAGTATATTTACATTCTAAAGTATCAACTTCTAAATATCACCATACGAACCAAGGATCAACGAGGGCCCCCATAATCAGGCTGCCCAGGAAGACACATTTATTGATTGTTTCAAACACAGGGTATTTCTTAACATTATAACAGGGAAGGTAAGTATCCTAAAGAGCCCAAGGTAGGTTAATCGTTTTGGACCTCTTTCATTCTTCACAAAGGTTGGTGAATAGGTCCAGACATTCATGTTTCCAGGCCCCTATCTAATCATGGGGCCCTAGGCAGTTTCCTAAGGTCACCTGTTGGTTAATCTTGCTCTGCACCTTATTATAAGAGAGTAAAAATAAAAAATAAAGTATCCAGAGATTGCTAATAATTTATGTGTACTTTAAATCGATGAACGTAAACCCCTGAACCATGTGTTATGCGAGAGGACCACCCAAATCATTATATTCTGACACCTAGGGCTTAAAAGATGAAAAGGTCACGGGCACATCAGAAAACATCATTTTTATTTTTATTTTATTTTTATTTGTGATCAGAGATATACATGTATGTAGCAGCGTTAAATGAGTTTCTTCTCTCCTGCCCTCTCATGTGTACTTAACACCAGCGAGATGGGAGAGAGATAGACCGCAGTTTGAACTGCTGTAAAGTGTGATAGGAAGCACTTCCAGTCTGTAATGAGCATCCCAACAGGGATTTTATAACACAGAGGAAATCTCGACTTCAATAAACACTTTCCATGGACTGCAGAGCAATAGCGCCCTCTAGCAGTCAATTCCTCAAACGCACAAGGAAAATGGAATATTAAAAGCAAAAATTATTTAAACAATATGGAATACACCGAATTCTGGGTAGGAAGATACAAAAGAAAAAAAAAAGGTCTTTAAGATAAACGTACATTTTTACATACACTATCTCGGTTAGGGATTCCTACTATGGGTATCATTAAATCAGAGTGTGAAACAGATAATCTACCTGCTCACCCCCAAACCATAAGAATCTTCCCGTTCACTGTGAGAATTTGCCCAGACTAACAATCTGCCCACGCCTACAAGAACAGAGATTGAAATAAAACTCCTGTTTATCTAAATATAAAGCTATTTTTGCTTCTCTGGCACAAAGATGATGGGTTGCAGGGTTTTCAGGAGATAAGCTGTGTATTACAATAAAGGCTGGTTTTAAATCCCCTCTTTTTTTTTTTTTTTCAACTTCTTCAAATCTCTGCGTGGCTATGTACGAAGAGTACTTACTTCCTTTTTAAACAATCTATCGCTGGACGCCACGTCAGAGGATGAAATGGTGCCTGTGACTCTCGCGAACTCTCCGCACGGCAGGGAATCTCTACTCAGTGAGTCCCTGTTGTGCGTTAGTAGGATTTTAGGCTGTCTGAGTGTCATGGGAATGGAGACACAGGCTATTAAAACCGAAGAATGCCAGATACGGTGTAAGTAAGAATGATTGGAAGATTCATCTCCCATGTATAAAATAAAGACAGGATTGATACGGTTGAACATGTGTTTTTGAATCCCCATATGTTTCATCTGTAATAGGTGTCGTCGGGCAGCTGTTAAAAGATTTACTACTTGTATAATGCGACAGTAGAGCTCAGATTCCTTGAGTGTTCAGGATGAGTTTTGCTCCTTTCAGCAGCACTCAAATTCAATCATACAGGTTCGGAGGAGTGCTTAGTCCAGTCTTATTCCATTAGGAAGGAGCCTTTAATCTGTGGAATAACTAGACCTCACACAAACCATTGCCAGACCAAGGCACTTGTAGGTCAACAGATGGTGCAATACAACGTAATGGCCAACACAAATCAAGCAACGATAATAAATGTAGACAAAATAATGAACAGTTCCCAATCCTGGCAGGCAGTTCTAGACTTCAATGTTCCCACCCCCTCTGAAGACCACCAGTACAAGACCTCATTATTTGTCCTGGCTGCAAATTTCTTCTGATCTTCCCCATCACCCTCAATGAACATCCCCCATTTATTGTGTAATACGGAGGACACATTGCTGTGTGAGTTGTATAGCTGATTCTTTACGTCACGTTGGACCACTTACAGCATTAAATGTAACTTTGAAGATGAATAAAATTTGACTTCATGATTCTTGGCTGGACCAAAACACCTTTCAAATGTCCAGATACTTTTTGGACTACAACTGGTGTAAGTTATTCCCACAAAGTCTGCCTTTATGCATATGGTTAGATTTTGGGGGAATCAGGGTTTGCCAAGGGCCCTATGAGATCTTAATCCTTCTAAGAAAATGTGAGTTGTTGGGGATACAAAGTAATTTTCAACTTTGAAAAAGAATTTGAAAAGTTCACCAAGCCAGCTGATTATAGTGCTACAGGAACAATCCAATATTAAAAGCTGAAGTTTGATTTTAATGTTTGAAGTGTTCCTCTAGCCATGCTGACACCAGGAAAAAAGAAGGGAAAAAGAAGGAAGGAAACCGAAGGAAAAGGAAGGAAGAATAGAAGGAAACAAATTGAAAGAAAAAGAAGGAAGGAAGAATGGAAGGAAAAATAAGGAAGGAAGAAGGGAAGGAAACAAACTAAAAGAAAAAGTGGAAGGAAGGAAAAATAAGGGAAAAAAAGAAAAAAGAAGGAAGGAAGAAAGGAAGGAAACAAACTAAAAGAAAAAGTGGAAGGAAGAAAGGAAGGATGGAAGGAAAACTAAGGTAAAAAAAGAAAAAAGAAGGAAGGAAGGAAGAAAAAAGAAGGGGAAAAAGAAGGAAGGAAGGAAGGAAAACTAAGGGAAAAAAGAAGGAAGGAAGAAGGGGAGGAAACAAACTAAAAGAAAAAGTGGAAGGAAGGAAAAATAAGGGGGGAAAAAGAAAAAAGAAGGAAGGAAGAAGGGAAGGACACAAACTAAAAGAAAAAGTGGAAGGAAGGAAGGAAAATAAAGGAAAAAAAGAATAAAGAAGGAAGGAAAATGAAAAAAGGAAGGAAGGAAAATAAGGGAAAAAAGGGAAATGGAATAAAGGGAAGGAAGGAAAATGAAAGAAAATGAATGAAGGGAGGAAGGAAAGATTACTCCCTGTAAATAATGGACTGCACAGGTTTCAGTTCAGATTGCAGAACGCACAGTATTACAGAATGCAAGCATTGTCGTACAGATTGCAGGATTTAGATTGAGATTTTTAGATTATTTAGCAGAATGTCGACCAGTTTGTTATACAGTCCATACTCTCTGTAAATTAGATTGCAAGCTCCTAAATCCAGATGACATAATATAGACCTGATAGGCCAGCTTTTCATCACAGACTGTACACGTCTTAACGCTGCACTAAACATGCTATTAGCTGCAGTCCATTTTATAATAATTAGACACAATTTAATATGTTTTATCTCTATATATTCCTCCCCGCCCCCCCATTTTTCTAACCTCACTGGTACAATGTGCTAAATTGTAAAAAAAGAAGTATGATTGGGCCCCCGAGAGCTGTTTGGCTTCTGGGAAGCTCTCTTGCTTGTCTTGTGGGAATGACCCCCCTGCCGCAGCCCATGAATCAAGAGCCAGCACGCTGAGCTCATCAATCAAATCACAGTGTACAATCAAAACGCCACAAACATCCCAGACCGAAGAGAAGTTGGAGGAGAATTTCTAACATTCAAGCTCATGCCAACTCCTCCCGGTGATAAATAGCAGTGGGGCCATGGCATGAATCTGCAAGGCGGGAGCGCAACACTTTATGAAATTCACTGAAGCCAAACGCACTTACTTTGCTGAGAAATATTGGAGAATGAGGCCGTATTTCCTGAACTCAGTCTTCCAGAAATGATGCTGACAGTCTGCACACAGATTAGAACGAGAGGAGGAAAGTATCTGGTTCACATAAGGACTGGAAAAGAAAAAAAAAGAAGACATATTACTGGTTACTGCGAACGCATCTTGTCTGCACCGTGTTAGACGCAATTTTTCTTTCCGACTAGAGTAGAAAGAGAATTGAATTTCCTGTACGCATGAAATACAACTTAATATCATTTAAACTGCTGTACGGTCTCTATATATCCAATGGCACATTTTATCTAAAGAATATAAAAGACAGCATCCGGACAGATTGCACTTCCACGATGTTTCCCAGAATACCGTGTGTACAGGCAACAGTCACGTCATCGTTCTGAAAATCTCGAACTGTTCATTGTTTGCGTTCTGCCATCCCTGCTTTCTTTTCCCCCACCTCCTAGATATCACAGCTTTGTTTCCAATTTCCCCAGTCCGCTTTCCCTCATCTTTACTCATTCCCCAGTCTATCAGCTATTTCACGTTTACCCCGGCCTTCTTTACCCATCTCAAAGCTACTCAACCTGACTGCTTGGTACCAACCGTAAAAGTTTGTGAAGGCTATATAAAAGAATTGGGGCCATGACTGCTGACCATATATTTCCATACCCAACTGGTAAGTCTCCACTCCCCACTTTGCATTAAGAAGCCTCCATGCATTTTTGTAACAATTTAGCTTCTTAATTCTAGCCCACTATGCACGGGCAGCTGTCATTTTCCCCCCTTGCCAAGATGTTCAGGGGGAAATCTTTAACGTTAAATAGCTTAATTTTATAAGTGGGAAACCTAAACATCACATCATGCAAAGTTATTCTAAATTAATTTGTGCTTCCAATTAAGTGACTTCAATTTGGGGGAAATACCCGTTTCCCTTATTTTATCACTAAAGAATTCAACTGAACATGTCCTAGTTCATACAGAACTGGTTTGTTGGAACTTGTGTGAACAGAAGACTGGCCAGCACAAATCCCGAACTTCAGACCTATCAAACACCTTCAAAATTATGTGAAATGCTAAAATGAGTCAGACCCAAGTGTCCAATATCGGTGCAAAACATTTTGCGCGTTCTAGAAGCTGAATAAAAGTAATTTGCAAGCAACAGTGTTCCAACATCTACTGAGAAGCCTTCACAGAAGAGTTGAGGCTGTTGTAAGCCCAAAAGGGAGAACAAATTTCTTAATATCTATAATTTTGGAATGAGCCATTGTTCACATCCCTTTGGCGTTGTAGCAATATACCAACATTTACAGACTCCATATAAGTGTACATAATACCACTGGCGTCCGCAGTTTATTTATAGAAGAAAACACGATTGTTTATTTTTACATTTCCTAATCCCTCTGGTAGCCTCAAATTAATAGGACGTAGGGTGGGGGATGAACAAAAGTCTCCTATGTTTTTCTAGTGTGCCTATTTATCATGCAGATAGATATTTTTCTAGACATGTTGATAAATTGGCTTCATAAAAGGAACACAGGATTTAGGGAATTCTTCACTGGAGACTTTTCCCATATTACTTGATGCATCTGGAACTGCCTTCTCAGAAATCACTTTCAATTTCAGGAGAGATCTCGGAGCGGTGTTTATGTATTGATGTCATGTCCCCCCTCCTCATTTTTAGTTGTTTTCGACTTACTAAAGATACTTCTGTAACATGTACGGCATTTATATTGGGACAAAAAAATGTAATTTACAAGGGAGCAATATTTGATGTTGATTGAAGAACAAACTAATAAAGAATTGGGCTCTAAACCATGGTTCATTGTTTCCCCTTTTCATCACATTTTCGTTACAACTAAATGTCTGTTCGTCAACCCACTGTAAGGCGCTGTGGAATTTGTTGGCGCTATATAAATAATAACATAATAATAATAATAAGGTTCTGAAGTTATGCATGCCTTTCCCCTTCCTCCCCCCCAACATTAGTATAAACATATTTATAATATGATATTTAGGCATACACTTTAGGTTTAAACTACATTAGTAATTTAACAATTCCATATATTAATTAATGTAAAAATAAATATACTCTGGAATTAAATGTCAATTATTCCCTATTTTATAATTAAATATTAAAAAAAAAAACAGTAAAAATGTACTAAACTAAATCAAGTCCATACCTGAAGCTCTATAGGGTAGCAAATATATTGGTCAGTTATTATTTGCTACACAGTTATTTTGTGAATACTATTTCTAGCCATCTTTGCCTTGTCGAAGCAGCAGCATTGTTTATGTAGAGGCAACCGACATATCCAATGGACAACATAGAAATCTGTCCAGGGACCATCGTCAAAAATGACCCTACAGCCAGAATCCCTACCCAATGCTGAATGTAGTAAAATCTCACCAGTATCTAAAGTGCTTTAAGGTATTCTCCAAACCTCCATAACCCTTGTAGGTATATCAGTAAGTGAAGGAATGATCTGGTCTTATGATTACACAATTCCCCCCCCCTCCCACCCCCCTAAATTGTTTTCTCTTTAGTAAATAATGGCACTGAAATATTTCAAACACCTGTAATCTATGTGCAACTAAAAAACATCAAAAGAACATAAATTTAACATGTCTCTTATGAGGAACATGGTCTCAACCAGTCCTACAGGCAGTTCAGATGAAATTCAATTTCGTAAGTAAAATTGATATTCCGTCTTGGAAACAACTTGAAAATTTCGGTTCTGCTGACTAATTTTTACCAAAAATATAATTTTTGGGTGAGATTGGATAGTCAGTTAGATGTCATTTCGGCTCAGCTAAATGTTGATTTAGAAACCGAATTAGAAGAGCAAACCAAAAATGTGCGAAAATGGGCCAATCAGTGTTCTGCAATATACAGTTGTTATCAAAATTATTCAACCCCCTTTGAAAATCATGTTTAATTTGCAGTCTTTCATCTGTTTGCAATGAATAAAGCAAACAAAAGCAACTGGAAAAGCTCAACACAATGAATACTTCAAGAAGTTTCTACAAATTCAACAGAAAATGCAACTTATGGATGACTTCTCCAGTCTCAAAATTATTCAACCCCTTCTTGGCACGCATCTTTAGTACTTAGTAGCGCACCTTTTCGCTGTTATGACCTGCTGCAAACGAGATGCATAGCGAGACACCAGCTTCTGGCAGCGTTCCTGAGGAATCTTGGCCAAATTGAGCAATGGCCTCCAGTTCAGAAATATTTGGGGGCTTCCAATCCCACCACAGATATTCTATGGTGTTCAATCCAGGTGACTGTGATGGCCACTGTAGAATTTTCTAGAACTTCTTCTGCATCCAAGCCTTGGTGGAATTTAAGGTATGCTCTAAATCATTGTCTTGTTGGAAGGTCCAATGACGCCCAATCTTCAGCTTCATCACAGACGGCATGCCATTTTCTCCTAGGATTTCCTGATACTTCAATGAATACATCTTACCTTCCACACGCTGCAGATTTCCAGTGCCAGAGAATGCAACGCAGCCCCAGAGCATCACTGAGCCGCCACCATGCTTAAAGGACCACTCTAGGCACCCAGACCACTTCAGCTTAATGAAGTGGTCTGGGTGCCAGGTCCTTCTAGGGTTAACCCATTTTTTCATAATTATAGCAGTTTCAGAGAAACTGCTATAATTATGAATGGGTTAAGCCTTCCCCCAAAGCCTCTAGTGGCTGTCTCATTGACAGCCACTAGAGGCGCTTGCGTGCTTCTCACTGTAATTTTCACAGTGAGAGCACGCCAGCGTCCATAGGAAAGCATTGTGAATGCTTTCCTATGCGACCGGCTGAATGCGCGCGCAGCTCTTGCGCATTCAGCCGACGGGGAGGAGAGAAGGAGGATCGGAGGAGGAGAGCTCCCCGCCCAGCGCTGGAAAAAGGTAAGTTTTTACCCCTTTCCCCCTTCCAGAGCCAGGCGGGAGGGGGACCCTGAGGGTGGGGGCACACTCAGGGCACTATAGTGCCAGGAAAACGAGTATGTTTTCCTGGCACTATAGTGGTCCTTTAACTGTAGGCAGAGTGTTCTTTTCAGCATATGCTTCATTCTTCTTCCTTCAGACATACTGTACTGCTGATCCATTAGGCTGAAAGGTTCCAGGTTTGTTTCATTGCTCCACAGAAAAGAATCCCCAAACTTCTGTGGCTTATTTATATGATTTTGAGCATATTGGAACTGACTTTTCTTATGCTTTTGAAACATTAGTGGTGTACGCCTTGGACTTCTGGCATGGAAATCTTCTGCCTGTTGCCACCAAATCTTGTCTTGCAGGTCTTTTATTATTATTATTATTATTATTTATATAGCACCAACAAATTCTTCAGTGCTGTACAATGGGTGTACAAATACATAATTGTAACCAGACACACAGGAACAGAGGGGTTGAGGGCCCTGCTCAATGAGCTTACATGCTAGAGGGAGTGGGGTAATGTGACACAAACGGTAAGGGTAGGGGTAGAAAAGTAGAATAGTTGCTAGAATAGTGAGGGCTTAGTATGTTGATTTTTGTTTTTTGCAGGGTGGAACTTTTGACACTTTAATGGTTACGAAAGAGTGGAGACAGGATGAATGTCTAACGGAGAAGGGAAGGGAGTTCCACAGGAATGGTGCAGCCTTAGAGAAGTTTTGGAGATGAGCACCAGAGGTGGGAGTACAAACAGAGAATAGACGTAGGTCTTCGGCACAGTGTAGGGGGCCTAGATGGGATATACTTGTGTATTACTGAGGATAGATAGGTGGGAGCAGTATTGTGTAAAGATTTGTAAGCAGGCACTTGAAGGTTTTTATAACCTGCTTTCTCAAAGCTCTGGTTGCAGCCATTGAAAGTTTTCTTTTTCTGCCCCGCCCTGGTGCAACCAATGAAGCCCTTGATTAGTTGCATCAGATGTGCTTAACATAACACCTGCTTTGCATATTTGTGCTGTTGTGAGGGATTCTATTCTGGGGGTTGAATAATTTTGAGACTGGAGAAGTCCTTATAAGTTGCATTTTCAGTTGAATTTGGGGAAACCACTTGGAGCATTCGTTGAGCAGTGGTGGGCTATTTTAATTGCTTTCGATTTGTTCATTGTAACGAGCTGAAAGTCTGTAAATTTTGACAATAAACCTGATCACTGTGTGTGTTTGTCAGTGTGTATATGTGTCAGTAGGTGCGTGTGTCTGTGTGTGCCAGTGTGCGTGTGTATCTATGCCTGTATGTGCGTGTGACAGTAGGTATGTGTATATTTGCCAGTATGTGTGTATGTTTCCCCAACAGTGACACGCCTGGTGATAATCCAATTGATCCCAGATTCAATTCTAA